GTGAGCACACACACAGAGGCTCAGACACACGCATGTGTGCGTCCATCAACTCACAGGACACGGGGAGAACGAACAACCCAACACTTTTATTGGTGACTTCAAAGAACTTCTGTCCTGCTCCATGGATAAGGAACATCACACTGGGGCTCGGGGCGCTTCTGGGACAAGCAAAATGCAATTTTCCTCTGATGACACAGCACTGGGAACGACTGTCGAGGTTCTGGGATCGCTGAAGTGACAGCAAGGACATAACAGCAATGTCACAAAAGTCACTGGGGAGGGAGTTGGAACTGAGTGAGCATTAAGCTCCCTCCCAACCCAAACCACTCGGTGAGAGTATGCTTCTATGAACATCAAGGAAATAAGAGCTGGGAAATAACAGCCAAGAAAATAACAGCAAGGAAAGAGCATCTAAGGATATAGCCAAGGAAGCAACGTCAAGGAAACCCTCAGCAGTTCCTACATGGAACAAGAGCTGAACTTGGCACCAGCATTGCCATCATCACATTTACCTTATGTCAAAGACCCTCTTGTCCAAATCTGCCTCCTCCTGAGTTTCGAGCTGAGTCAGGGGCACCTTCTGCGGGGCAGGGATTAGAGAGGTGAGAAGCAGGCATGGGGCAGGGACCGGCTAGAGGGACAGAGCTGGCGCCTGCTCCTGCCCTTGCCTCCTCCTCGTCCCTGTCCGTGTCCTTGCTCCTGCTCCACCACTTGGGCCGCAGCTTCCGAAAGCACCTGGAAACAGGCAGGAGCAGAAGGATGAGAAGCAAAGGATGAACTCCTCCAGTGCTGGAGGAGTTGGGGGGGCTCTGGGTAGGGCTGGGTGCTGCTGGGGCAGAGCCTGCTGGGGCAGGGCAGGGCAGGAATTACCACTTCAGGCGCCGTCTCCTGCTGCCTTGGGAATCCTCATCATCTTCCTTGGCAGAGACCTGGCGACAGAGAGACAGAGACTCGGAACATGGAGGTTTCCACATGGAATTCTGCAGCATGGGGAGCCGGAAGGTTCTTCCTCCAGCCCAGTGCCCTCTACACACGTACAAGGCTGTGCCAGCAGCCACGCCTTTAAGAAGAGCCCCCCATGCCTCCCTGCCCAGCTCCCCACTGCTCCCTGCCTCTGGAATGACCCAGAGTTCTCCTCAGCCTTGTTAATTTCTACCTTTCTCCTCTGCACAGAGCTCTGCAGGCTCCCCCCGCCCCTTCAACACGCACCATGCCTTCTAAAGACATGAAAGCTCATTTGTCTCTTCGGAGGAGGAGGGCCCCAAAGGGAGGTTCAAACTGTGCAGCAACGATCGGGCCCCTGCCCTGTGCCCGGGCACAGCCCCGACCCACCGGAGCCACAGCACCATGCAGAAAGGCTGGGTATGGGCTCAGGGCAGGGAGCAGGGGCATTGCTGCATGGCTGGAAGCAACGGGTGCTGCAACAGAGCAGGGCCAGGACAGGAGCTGGGGAGGGGAGGCTTGGGGCGAGGGATTGCAGGCTACAGCATGGTAAGGGCTGATGGCAGAGGCCGTGATGAGAGGGAGCTGCAGCCCCCCTGAAGGAAGGAGCTACTGGGAAGATGCTCGGCAGAGCTGGGGACAGACCCTGGCAGGAGCCAGGACAAGCTGCTCCCAGCAGCTCTGAACACCTCCAAGCTCCAGGGTGCGGTGCCACAATGAGCTCCAAGCCTGGGAAAACATCTCTTGTGCTCGCCAGCACATCCACAGGCATCCGCAGCAGCACCCGGGCCCCATGAGCACTGTGGGAGCACCCCCCTGCCCCTGTGCTCTCCAGCCCCAGGGTTTGGCTGGCAGCGCTCTGCCAAACGAGTCCTTGGCTCACCTTGAAAGAGCGCTGCGCCAGGAGAGCAACGCATATGATGAGGTTCAGCAGAGTGAGCAGCGAGAGCGGCAGCACCAGCGGCAGCCAGCGATCAGAGGTGTGCTTGGGCACCTCCTGGGAGAAAAGGAGAGTGGATCAGGGAGGAGAGGAGCTGGGAAGGGAGGACAGGGGAGGGGAGGAGGAGGAAAGGGAGGCCCCTTCCATACCCCACTGCCCAGACACACACACGCAGCCATGCCCCGCTCTCTCCTACCGTCTCTGCAGATTCACTGTCCATCCGCCTGGGCTGGACTTGGGCATGGGGACGAGAGGTGCCGGCATCCTCCTCCCACACACACTGCTCAAGGAGGTCAGAGGGCTCCGGGTCACGCTGCCTCTCACTCAGCAGCTTCAGGAGCAGCCCCGTCCTCGAGACCATCTTGGCGCAGGCCTGCTGGAGCTGGGGCAGGCCACAGTCCCCCCGCAGGGCTCGAGCCCCCTGTGCCATGAACCTGCGCAGGGCTCCATCTGGCACCAGAGAGTGGAGGTGGCGGCTGAGCAGGGTGTCAAAGGGGGGTCCTCGCTTGGCTGCTCTGCCCGGGGCGCTGGAGCTGCCCTGTGCCGTTGGGGTCGGGGGTTTCTGCTCCTTCTGCTGCCCGGGTGTGGTGGTGCTTGCAGGGGCGGTGGGTGGTCTCCCACCTAGAGAGGAGCGCTCTGCTGCAGCCGTGTCCTCTGGTGTGCTGCTGGCAGCAGGGGGGCCGTTTTTAGCCAGCAGAGCATAGTAGAAATACTGGGTAGTGCTCAGTCTCTGCTCTGCTCTACCCTCTGCTGCTGCGGGCTCTTCTTCTGCAGCCCTGCTGCCCACTGTCCCATCAGTGTTCTGCTGCTTCTGCTCCTCATCTGTCCCAGCAGAGTCCTGTGTTGGGGATGGTGCTTCCTCCTCATCTTCTGCACTATCCTCATTCTCCATCCCGTCAGTCGTGTTGGTCTGCTCCATGGTGTCAGAATGATCCTGACTCTCGCCGGACCGGGCGAGGTGCGAGGCCTCTGTTGGGTATTGTGTAGGGGGCTGTGCTGCAGCAGGGGTGGGTGTTCTCTGGTGGCTGGAGACTGGGAGGATGTCGCTGAGGTTCATACTCCGCACTGCTTCCCATAAGATGGACTCTGCCTGGATCAAGTCTAAGTCAGGCTCCTGTTGCTGCCAGCTTATGGCTCTTCCTCCCTCCTCTACTGCCACCTCCTGCCCCTTGTCCCTCTGCGCTGGCTGGGCTGTGCTGGGGCTCTCCACAGTCAGGATGCTCATGGCCTTGTGCAGTTTCTTCTTCAGCTGTGCCACGAGCTCCTCTGCTAGAAAATAGAACCTCCTGGTGTCAATAGAGCTGCTCCAGCCCCTGTGCTGAATGCTCTGCAGCATCACCATCAGCTCCTTGGTGGTGTTGCCCTCCCGCCTCGAGAGCTGCTGAGAGGAAGGTGCTGATGCATTGGGGCTGCTCAGGCTCAGGAGAACTGTGAGTGTGACGGTTCTCTGCCCCCTGAGGGAAGGCTCCTTAGGCTGGAGATTCAACACAGAGCTGCTGTTCCCTTTCCTGGGTGGCACCGTTCCCTTCAGGAGCTCTGGTGTCTCTGCCAGGGGAGCTGTAACACACCAGGAGCACATCAGTGACAAGAAGCTTTCTGCCAGACACAGGCTCAGAAGGTTCACTATAGCTGGGGCACATGGGCAGGGCTGTGGGCCAGTTACCGCAGCGGGGAGCAGTGCTGCTGCACACGCTCATGCAGTCGAAGCTGAGGGTCCTGCACGGGGTCTCGGTGCTGTGCTTGTGCTGGCAGAGGCAGCAGGCCGTGTCGATGGACAGCTTGCTAAAGAACAGAGGTTGTGCACAAACACTCAGCATCACGATCCAGGGCAGCGACTCCAACCCAGGTGGCGCACAGAAGCCTGCTGGAGGTGGGAGCCAGCCCTGCACACTCACAGTGTTTCCAAGCGGGATGTTCTCAGGAGCAGCATGAGCAGTGTCTGCCGAGTCACTCGTGTGGCACCCAGGTCCCTGCAAGGGTTTCAAGAAACACATTACATTAGAGGTGGCGGCGCCAGCCTCTGCTCCGTGAACAAGCCCAGTCCCTGCTGCTTGCTGTGCTGGCCGCAGGGGGATCTGCTGCCACCTTTGCAGCTGGGGCACAGCAGAACTGCTCAGCCTTTGCCTGGCTCTGCCGCTGCCTCCAGCAGGAGAAGGGTGGGATTTGCTGCTGGATCTCTGCTTTCCGGGCCACGGGGCACCCAGACACACAGAGAAAGATCCATGGTAAGCTGTTGACAAGGAGTCTGTACTTACAGGTGAGTGACTGAAGGCAGCTTGAAGAACCACGTGTCCTCGATAACAGACAGGGGGTTATGGCTCAGGACCCTGAAATGAACCAACACCCCATGTGAGTGGGGGGTGCAGGATGAGAGCAGTGGCAGCGGTTCAGTGCTTTGTGTGTGAGGAAGGGCCTGGGGTGAAGGTTCCAGGCCGGGACAGATGCTGATGGGCAGATTCACAACATACATCAGGTCCTGACTATCTCCAGCCCAGAGAACAAAAGCCCAGAAGTGCTGCTTCTGGAAAACACAGCATCCCTTTCTTTCCTCCTCAGCTTGCACCTGCTGGTGGCTTCCCTCCAACAGGGCTTTCCCTATTTCTCACATTCCCATTGTCCATGAGTGTTCTAACTGGTCCTGCACCCAGCCAGGCAAAGCCGTGGCCTGACAGAGTTGTCATTCAGCATTGATGCTGCTGCCTATTTGGGGTAAGAGGTGAGCAGAACACAGTGACAAGGGCCACTGCTCTGAGCTCCCCTTAGCCCTTGGAACACTCACAGTGTCTGGAGGAACTGCATCCCGTGCCATGCCCGGAACGTGTCGCTCCGGATCTTGGTGATGAGGTTTCCCTCCAGGCTTCTGGGGAAACAGGAGAGCACAGAAATGAATTGGGTCTGACCCACAGGAAGCTGGAGTGAAGCAGCACTGATCTGTAGGAAACAGCCACATCCATGGTGGAACTGGGAGGAAACTGCCATTTTCTCTCCTGCTGCTTGTTAACCTGTCCAGGAGAGGAGACAAAGTGCATGCGTGCTGCATCCCTGCCTGCTCCAGGACACAGCAAGACTCAAGAGGCAGCTTCTATTCCTGCTGTGTTTGCAGAAGCCGTGGCCCCATCCTGGTGTGGCCACCAGCCATGCCCTGAGCTCCGGAGCTGGGCTGCTCCTTCAGCAGGAGAAACTGGAGGCCTTGTTCTAAGAATAACAGGAGTTTTTTCCATCACCAGAAGGTTCTAAATGCAAACAGGCTTCACCAACCACACCAGGAAGGAACTCCCATAACTCACATGGTCTCCAGGAAAGGAAGGTTCTCAAAAGCACACGCCTCGATCAGCTGGATTTTGTTGTAAGATAAATCCCTGTTAACAGGAGAACACAAAACGCTGGTGACATTTGCACTGTCCTGGTTCCTCTCAGGGGCTCTGACATTGGCAGCACAGACCTGCCATAGCCCTCACTTCAGGTGGGGTTTCTCTCTGGCACTGACTTGCAGTGGTGTGGAACCGGAGGTCACGCTCCTGACGGGGGTGGCTGCAGCTCAGAGAGGTTCTCCCAGCTCTGATCCCAGCAGGGGTATTTCAGGGCTGATTTTCTCTCTGGTAACAGCAGGTTCTTTATGCACGCCCCAACAGCACCTCTTGTGTGAGGCCTCAGGGACAGGCTGTAACGCCCTGTGTGACCAACATGGGGCTATTTCCCCCAGCTCCTAAACGTCACCTCCCTGCAGAGCCCTGCTCTGCTGTGCGCAGGAGTCCTCTGGCCTGACTCTAGAAACCAAAAGGTTCCTTGTTCCAGCCTGAACTCGCTGCCTGGGCTTGTTCTGCAGCAAACAAGGAGAGAGGAACCTTTGTGGGGAGCATTTCATGGCCTGCTCAGCCAGAGTCCCCAGCCCCGTCCTGTGGGGGAATGGGAAGTGCCTGCTCCTCTCCATGGGCAATGAAGCTGCACCATGAGCTCCCTCCAAGGCAGCTCTGGGGCATCTGAGCTGAGAGGAGACGAATGCACAAGGTTTGGCCTCATGCAGGTCTGTGCAGGGACAGGGCAGCAGCCGCCTGCTCCTGCTTGGCCGTGGGGCAATGGGAGTGCAGCGCGTCCCTGCGGAGCCCTCCCCTGCACCAAAACCCTGCTCTGCTCTGGCTGCAGCCGCAATACCGTCCGCAGGAATAAAGCCCTTCCTGGGGCGGGCCGGGCAGCAGGGCCAGGGCAGGGGGAGGCCGTGCCCACCACCATGGGCAGGGGGATACTTACAGGTGCCTCAGCAGGAGCAGCCCCTCCAGCGAGCGCCTCTTCACTGCCCGCAGGTTGTTGTGCTGGAGGACTCTGCAAGAGACGGACGAACACGAGCAGTGGCACCCGCGGCTCTCAGGGGCAATGGAGCTCTCAGGGGAACAACCCTGCAGCAGTGCCACCGCAGCCTCTCTGCGGGTCCTGCCACGGCTCATCACACTCATGGCAGGAGCAGGGGCTTGCTCCCAGCCTGCTGACCCTGCCTGCAGCCTGAGCACGGGTTCCACAGGCCCAGGGATGGCCCCGGAGGGCAGGAGGTACCCAGCCCAGGGCACTGCTCGCCATGGAACAGCTCTGGGGATTCACACCCCTCCTTGCTGAGCAGCTCGGCCTTGGCTGCACGTGGCAAGCACTGGTGCGGTGCTCGGCACAGCCTCGGCTCCACAGCCCGGCGGAGGGATGGGGATCCCGGAACCCCTGTGCCATGTCTGGCACTGGTGGATACTCACAGCTTCTCAGCCCACGGGTATCCCTGCCAGGCCTGCGGGGGGATGAGGGCGAGCGCGTTCCCAGTGAAATCCCTGCAGAGAAGCCATTGGCAGCGTCACCCCCAGCACAAACCCTTCCCCTGCCCCAGGGCTGCGGCCTGGAGCTGCCCCCTCGGCGCTGCCCCTCAGCCCCCCACAGGCAGCGGGGCCCTGGAGCCGCTCTCGGGGTGTCCCGGGGCAGCGCCCGGAGCTGCAGGGCACTCACAGCACGGAGAAGGGCCGTTGGTGGGTGGCCGGGGGCACGCGGGCCAGGGCAGCGCTGCTGCAGTTCAGGCGGCGCCCGCGGCAGCGGCAGGGCCCCGGGCAGGGCCTCAGGGGCCGGGCCAGGCCGGGGGCCAGGCCCAGCAGCAGCAGCAGCAGCGGTGCCATGGCGACACAGGGCCTGAGCGCCTTTGGTACCACACAAGGCTCAAGGCTGGGGATCCAAACCAGGAGCTCTCATCTGCGACCAGCAGCGGATCCGGGGCTGTGCTGGCCCTGTGTTCTGGGGCTGTGAGCGTGCGTCCCCATTGTGACATGGGACAATCCCTGCCACTGGAGCTGGTGCTCTCCCCCACCTGGGGCTGTTACAGACCAGCACCTCTACATGTGCAGCACATGTGCGTTCAGTGCGGTCTGTGTGCGTCTGCCACACGTGTGTGCATGCATGTGTGCGTGTGCCTGAGGGCTGCCCTGTGTGGGTACGCGTGTGTACATGTGTGTACATGTGTGTACCTGTGTGCGGAAAGCTTCAGGCCTGATGTGTTGGCTTGGAAACAGCAGTGTCACTTCCAAGGGACACTTGGCAGTGTCGATGTCACACCCAAACCCTGCGGGGAGCTGCTGGCCAATCTCCTTCTCCATTTGGATGGCAAAGGCTTCCAAGTCAAGGGAGTAAACTCCTTCTCCAACCTCTCACACCCTCAGAAAGCTGCAGGGTGCCGGAGCACCTCTCGGACCCTATTCAGCACCAGAACACGCTGTATTTGAGCCGGGATGCAGCCGTGCACCCAGCATCTCACTGACAGCCCCGTGCTTTGCTCATAGGGCCTCCAGTCACGGCTTGGTTTTGCTCTGAAGAACAGGGCAAGACTCCAAAAGGCACAAGTCCAATCAACTCACAGGACACAGGGTGAATGAACAACACAGCAGTTTTATTGGTCTATAATGTCTAAGGTAAAAGTAATGTCTAATCTAAACCTCAAGTCAAATCTTTAGTCTCTAAACCTAAAATTGGATCTAAACCTAATGTCTAATCTAAACCTAAAGCTGAGTCTTCATGTGTAATGTAAACCTGAAGTCGAATCTTCTTCATGTCTAATCTGAACCTAATGTCTAATTAAATCTGATATCGAATCTTTTTTGTGTTTAATCTAAACCTAACGTTGAATCTTCTTCTTGTCTAATCTGAAGCCTGTGTCCAATCTAAACCTAATGTCGACTCTTCTTCGTGTCTGATCTAAACCTAAAGTTGAATCTAAACCTAATGTCAAATCTAAGCTCAGGTTAAAAGGAATGAATCATGTTTAAACTACTCCCCCTTATCCTATCACTAGAGGCCCCTGTATAAAGTCCCTCTCCAGATCTCTTCAGGCGCTGGGAGCGGCTCTAAGGTCTCTCTGGAGCCTTCTCTTCTCCAGGCTGGAGCATTTGGTCTTCTTGAACTCCATGATGTTTGCCATCGGGTGTCATGAGCAGTGAGGGGCCTGCAGCACCCTACTTCGTGGGGAGGGACCATGGGGCTGGGGCTGAGCGCTCTCTGAAGGCAAGGGAAATTGTCTCGTCCCAGAATGATGTGTCCTCACTGGAAAAGCTTGACTGGGATCTGGCATCACTGAAATGACAGCAGGGACAAAACAGCAACAACATAACAGCCACTGGGGAGGGGGCTGGAACTGCATGAACTGAACGCGGGGCCTTCATCACCTCCTTCACACTTACCATTGGTTGACAACCACCTTGTACAAGCCTGAGTCCTCGCCAGCAGTGGACTGAGCCAGGGCCACCTCCTGCGGGGCAGGGATAGGAGCGGTGCGAAGCAGGCACGGGGCAGGAGCAGGCAGGGAGGCGGAGCTGTTGCTTGCTCCTGCCCGTACCTCATCTTCATCCCTGTCTGTGTCCTTGCTCCTGCTGCACCACTTGGGCCAGACTCAGGGGCTAAGACTCAGAGGCTGAGACTGGCTGAAACGGTGGCTGAGACTCTGGGCCTCAGACTTTGGAGCTGATACTCTCAGACTCTGAGGCTGATACTGTTGCTGAGACTCTATAGCTAAAACTCTGGGATTCAGACTTTGGGGCTGAGACTGTGGCTCACACTCTGTGGCTCTGACTCTGGGTCTCAGACTTTGAATTTCAGCCTCTGTGACCGAGACTGTGATTTAGACTCTGTGGCTGAGACTCTGGGGCTCAGGTTTTGGAGCTGAGACTCTCAGACCCTGTGGCTGAGACTGTTGCTGAGGCTGTGGGGCTGAGTCTCTGGGGCTGAGACTGTGGGGGTGAGACTCTGGTGCTCCGGTTTTGGAGCTGAGACTCTGGCTGATACTCTCAGACACAGACTCTGGCGCTGAGACTCTTGGGGCTGAAACTCTGGGTCTCAGACTTTGGAGCTGATACACTGTCCTGGGTTCAGCAGTAGCAGTCACTTTTTCTCCTTCTTAGTAGCTGGTGCAGCACTGTGGTTTTGACTTTCAGCCTGGGAACAGCAATGCAAAGATTTAACCAATGTACGGGAGGGGGTCCGGCTAAGCTGCTTGCTTAACAATGTTATTGCTTGCCCATAAACAAACATTTTTCATGCTCATTATGCTGTGCTAGAGCAGGATGGGAGGACAAGGCTACTGATAAGAGGAAGGAACAGTCACCTGGCTCCTGCTTTCTGGGCCCTGAAACCAGCTAGAACCAGCTTTGTGGTTTGGACTGTGAGGATGGAGGCACGGACCCAGAGATAGAGTGCAAGCTGGATCGTCTGTTGCAAAGATTACACAATATTTATACACTTCCAAGCAATTAGCAAGCACATCTGTGTTTGCCTTGCGGTTACATCAGGTGAAAGGTCCATCAGATTTTCTTACCGACATCCTCTTCCCACTTCCGACGTCCTTGTTCCTTGCCAATTCCAACATCTTCCAAGTACCAGTCAGGGACGGGTCACTCTTAATTGCCTGCTGTAGTTTCTCCTTCCCATGGTCTCTGACAGTTTCGATACATTCCAACCCCACAGTTCCCCCTTCTTGTTTTTGCAATGCAGTGTACACGTGTCTTTCAAAAGCTTGGGATAACATTCGCTGCATGCATTGTAATAAGCAAGGTGCAACGCGGATGATGGCGAAGAGAGCGAGCAAAAAGATCAGTCCTCCCTTAACCAAAGTTAATACCTCTATGCAACACATTTCCTCCAAAGTTTCGCACCCATGTCCAAGTGTTAAGAGGAGAAAATTGATTGCTGCTCTATTTTGTAATGTCGCATGTCTTACAGAATCAACATCAGTGAGCAATGTAGAGAGAGTGGATGCTGCAGCGTTAGTTTGCTTAGCTTCAAAAGCCAGGTGACGTGGGAGCCACCGCATAGAATCATACAATAGTTCGGGTTGGAAAGGATCTTAAGATGGTCAGGTTCCAAGCCCCCTGCCATGGACAGGGACACCTCGCTCTAAACCGTATCACCCAAGGCCTCGTCCAACCTGGCCTTGAGCACTGCCAGGGATGGAGCATTCACAACCTCCCTGGGCACCCATTGCAGTGCCTCACCACCCTAACAGGAAAGAATTTCCTCCTTATATCCAATCTAAACTTCCCCTGTTTAAGTTTTAACCCGTTACCCCTTGTCCTGTCACTACAGTCCCTAATGAAGAGTCCATCCCCAGCATTCCTATATGGCCCCTTCAGATACTGGAAGGATGCTATGAGGTCTCCACGCAGCCTTCTCTTCTCCAGGCTGAACAGCCCCAACTTTCTCAGCCGATCTTCATATGGGAGGTGCTCCAGCCCCTGAGCATCCTCGTGGCCTCCTCGGACTTGTTCCAACAGATCCATGTCCTTTTTATACACCCACCATGGAACCAAGTAACAAAGGGTTTGCACCCTCTGGATCCTTAGCATTCCCAGAAAGCCCGTGGAGCACCTGTCCCTCTTGCCAGGCCTGATCCTAAGTCCACAGGCCACAAGCTTTTCATCCGACCTTTGTCTGTCCAGCACCTCCAGTCCCCAGCTCGATGGGGATGGGATGCTCCCACCACTCTCTTCTGTCCCCAGCCCCTCAGAAGCATCTCTCCCCCTGGCTTCCATACTCCATGCTCCCTGGGATGCTTCTCCACCACCCTGATCTTTCCTGGGGGCAGTCACCAACTGCTGTTCCAGGTCTTCCTTGGGCTTCCCAGAGGTCCCAGCCTGAGCTCCACCACGTGTTCTCCTGCTCAGCTCCTCACAGTCCAGCCAGTCCATGTCCCCAGCAACAAATGTCCCTGACCCGAGCATCCTCTCTTGCCTGGGTACCACCTTCCCACCCCCCACCCCCCCCCCGCCCCCGAGCCCTCTCATGTGCCCTGAGCATCATGCATTCCCTGGGAATGGAGGTGGCGGATGGGGAGGGGTCAGCTCCCCCCATGGGCACTTTGGGTTCCCATTTCAGTGTCACTTTAACTGGAGTGTGTGTGCAGGGCTGGAAGGCTCCGTATTAAATTGCCAATCTGATCGCGTGCTGCCGGGAGGTGGCCGTAGCTAAGCAGCACCACCCCACAGCCACTTGTGGGCTGGTGACTCCTCTGCTGGCTGCTCCTTGGAGTGCCCCAAAAGGAAGCAGCAACCAGCCACAGCACCCCAGGAAGGGTGAGGGGCAGAGCCAGCTCTGCGCAGCCCCCCCCGGGCACCACCCCACTAAAGGCTTTGGTACTCGATGCCCAGCTTGGGGGGTCACAGCACGAAGCTGTCCCGTCTGCAGATGCCCCCAGCACTTGAGAGTGTTCAAGGCTGTTATAAAAATTCCGTCTTGGCCATGATCTGATTTAATTAATTGTTTATTACAATGGATTAATATCGAGAGGCAATAAGCAAGCAGCGCTGGGTGCGCCGGGGAGTCTCCGCTCCACCCAAGACGCACACCGAGAGTTCTGGGGTACAGG